GGATTTGATAAAATGTGGCGTGGTTTCTTTTATTATTTGCTCCATTACAGCTCTGTTAAATTAGAATGCCACATAAAATTCTCCCACTGTTGCTAAACGAATGTGGAAACCTTTGACCGCTATGGACTGTGCAATTTAGGAAAGATTGTGGTGGAGGTGGAAGAAGGGATTGGGATATTAGCTTCTGTTTTTAAATTCTGTTCTTTGGCTGAATCCATTTATGGCTTAAGTTTGTTCCAATACTTTCATGGTAATTTTTTTCCATTTTGACAAAATGTTTTTGTATTTTTAACTTAATAAAATTCTCCAAAAATTTGTTGGTTATAATTTCATAATAATAATAGATTTTGTATTGCACTCTTTTTCTGAAAGCTTTTGTATTCCCATTTAAAGAAATCTGTGAATTACTTTTTCTCAGCAAACCAACCAATCACTAACAGCATTACAACTTTTACAATCACTAACAGCATTGTTTGTTGACAAATTGTTGCGTTAATGCTAATTTTTTCTATTTCATTTTAACCTTTTATAACATATTTTAATTTTAAAAACAAGTTTTTTTTTCTTTTGGGAACTAACTATATACTAATATTTAATTTTACTCTTTTGTTGGTCAATATATGATTTTTGATTCAAAATTTTGTACCAAAACATTAAAAAATGAATAAAAAAATCTTGCCAAATTGTCGAAATAAATTTTTTTTTTCAAGATATGTTTAAAAAAATAACATTTTGATTAAAATATTTTATAATATAGACACTTTTCTTGTACCCACATCCTACACTTTATTAGAGTAAAGAAACTGAAACCCGGAAATTTTAAGATTTTTATCTGGAAAAATCAGGGAAATTTGAAATCTGATTTGATTGGCCACCCTGTTTATGTTTCTTTTTCTGCAGTAATTACTTTACAAATACTCGTTTCTCACAAATTATTTAATTTACACAATTACCAAACAGGAAGTAATTTGAGGCCCCTCAATTTATAAGTGGCAGTGGAATAAAAATGAACATCTACATTTTTAATTTCACCAGAACTCAACATGTCCTTTTGGTATTTGATAATTTATAAACATTTAATTTATAAAATGTTTGTATGTTGTGGTGGTCAAAATATATTTATGTAACATAAATTTTGGAAACCAATTTATGTAGTTTAGAAAATTTTTATAAAGCAAGAGAAAATTTGACAACTATGAGCTTATTTGATTCAAATTGTAAAGCACATAATTAATAATGGCTAAAATTAAGAAGAGGTAAAAATATGCATATTTTGCAATCGTGAATTGCGATTGAATTTTTTTGAAATTTTGTGTTGATTAATTTTATCAAAGGAGGCGTAAATTCGTCTAATTTGCTACTTGATTTTAAAAATATGATAAACAAGCAGGGCAGGCAAAAATTATGAACTTTATTTATTAAATCCAACTTTTTTTTAAATTTAAAAAATTTTTTTACAATTTATTAATTAAAACTAATTGCCAATCATAACATTTAGCAATTTCTTTTTGATGAAATAAATTCTTAACATTACTGAAATCTTAACATTACTGAAAAAATCAATATTGTAACTAAGATACCGTATATGCTGTGTATATAGGGCCTAATACAGATGGATTTGACTACAATTTATCGGTACTTTAGTGAAAATTGAAAAAACGTTTAGTATCAATGAAATTATTCTTTAAAACCAATCATTCTTAAGGTATTATAAATGAATTTTATTAAAATATATTTTGGTGCGCAAAATTTAGAAAAAAGTATGGTTTTTTACTTTATTTCCTTTTTTTATTATAAGTGGAATCACTCTATTAAATAATAAGATTAAATTTAAAAGAAACTGAATAAGGTATATTTTGAAAAAGGTGATCAAGCTGGTTAAATGTGACAATACTTCAGGTTCTGTAGTCTTAAATCAAGATGTGGTTCGTTCCAATAGTTACTATCGTCTTTATTTTGTATTTGAAATTTGTTTTCGTCATAGCAATATTGTCGCAAAAAAGTTTAATTTTTTTATCTGCAGAGTTTTTGGAGAGATTTTGTTTTCTGCAGAATTATTTTCAAAAAATACCTTTCTTGCATATCAGAAATGGAAGAAACCCTCATGATTTCTCTTTTTCTTTTACTTTGCTTTGAGAATAAAAAAAATTCTACATTATAAAAAGTAATTTCCAAATTGATAAAATTTAAAAAAGTTAACTACATAAAAAAAATTTAGAACAGGAGAATATTGCCAATAATACCAGAATATGTGTTCTTTTACATGTGTATTTTAAAAAAAAGTCTTAAATTTATAATTTAAAAAATTATATACTGTTCTATTCTGTACATGAAGGCTTTTTTTGTAAACAGAAAATGATTCTGTTACTGGAAATTAGTAATATATATATATATATATATTTGCTACTATTAAAAAATATTTTCTGACAGGTATTAGTACTAGAGAGAATTGTCGCATAAAGTTCGAAAAATTCTGCCATAGGGTATTTGAGTAATAACTGTAAATGTAACTGTTCAGTTTGAATCATATAGTATATTCATGTAATCTTGTAAATTTAATCTTTTTGAAATATATTTTTTTCAGCTTTTCCTGCAAAACTGCTTAAAGTTTGATTCTAAACTTAATATCACTGCCTTGGCATCAGAAGAAGTGATAAGTGAGCAGAGTTCTCTTGCTATTTCAAATGGAGCCATATTTTCAGTCATGTTGAAATCTCATCCATTTGCAAAAAATATATCGCCAAACACAGTTGCTGCGTTATTTTTACTGATAGAACGTCTGCTGAATCCGAAATCTACAAAGTTCCGCATAAACTCAATTCAGATGAATCATATTAATGTTTTAGACATTCTTCTTTGGATCATAAAAGTTAGTTGTTTCTATAATTCATATTCCTAGTAAGTATTATTCATAGCTGCCAACTGTACTGGATTTTTCCAGTTTCTCCTGGTCTACTGGTTTAATTTAAATTCTCCTGGTCTTTGTACATTTAAAAAAATTACCTAAAATTAAGTGAAATTCTTAAAAAATCCCTACTGTAATAGAATTTTTGCTCAGATAATTGCTTGCTCGAATATTAAAATAAGTATTATATGTAATAAAGCTAGCCTTATTTATAAATAATAAAGCTATATTCATTTATAATAAAATTATCCTCATTTATAAAAATCAATTGAAAACTTTTTTTATTTTAAAACATTGCCCCGCAGTGGACTGATCGTAAAGACACGGTTCCCAATAGAACACCTTAGTCAAGCATCACTGACTACAGTTGGATTACCTCTTTGATCAGCCTGCTTAGGAACCAAGGGTGCATGGTATCGGCCCTCGTTAAACTGTTTTACCATAATGTGCTTGACTTTGCTTACAACTCATCAGACTACCAAATCAGGGGGGCCATTCCCTCTGCAGAGGATCAAAATTGCGATGGCATATCTTCAGATAATCCTCAGGGATGTTTCTCAGACCATCACCAAAGACTCATTATGCAGCTCTAGTGCGACATAAATAAAGTATCTACCTAAAATTTTATTTTTATTCAGAACTTCCTTTTTAAATTAGTTAAAATATGTTTTGACTGTCTTTGATGAATTAAATACCTATTACTATTCAAAGTTTTGAGTAAACACAATACATAACATTTCAAGTTTATTTAATATCCTACATAACTGGAAAATATTGCAGTTTTTCTATTTTTATGACGTTTAAAATCCCTTTGCATAAAATATTTAGTACATTATGCAAGAATTATCATGAAATTTATATACTTTCCTTAAATCTACTGAATTTTTTTTATCCATGCTGGCAGCTATGATTACTGTTTTTACTCTGTAGTTAATCGTGTTTTTTATTTCTAGAGGCATTGCATAATGGGCGAAGGATTTCTTCCATTAAAAGCCTTACAAGTGATACCTTCCATTATGCAAAAACTTCTTCTTTATAACTTCAATGGGTTGATTTTTGAGAACATCTGCCATTTTATGCTGTTGCTTCATGAATCATCAGCAACTTATGTGTGCCACTCACGTTCAGCTTTTTTCTTCTTACGTCCTGTTGACAAAATTGGTATGTTTTTTTATTTAAAACAACAAACTACAATAGACTTATTTAAAATAATACAATAGATTTATTTAATGCAACAAAATACAATCTAAAAGCCACAATTTTTTGCTGCTTCTTAAAAAAATTTAACTGAAATAAAACTTTTTTAGTTTCATGCATCTGTGTGATTACAACGAATCTTCAACAGTAGAAAGAAGAAGAAAATTTATTAGTGTGACTTACGTGAATTAAATGTTTTAAGCAGGGTATCAACACACCTGGAAAAAGTCATGAATTTCGATATTAAACAAATTTTGTCATAAAATGTCATGACATTTTAACTATTTTTTTTTCAAGGAAAGTCATGAATTTAGGTCGCTGAAAAACAACTTTTTATAATGGAATTTCTCGGGCAAGGCACGTCGTATTGGTCCTCGTTAAACTGTGCTACCGTAAAGTGCTTGACTTCGCGCGCAGGTCGTCAGGCTACCGAAGCGGTGGTGCCATCCCCTCTGCAGAGGATCAAAATTGTGAGGGCATGTCTTCAGATCATCCTAAGGGATGTTTCCCAGACCGTCGCCAATAGCCCATTGTGCAGCTCTAGTGCGACGTAAATGAACTACAACTACAACAGTACGTCGATCTTGGAATGGAATTCCCTTCAATTTCTTGGTGTTCCGAATATCTGAATTTGTAACAAAATCCCCACTCACAGTCATATTTGATTAAAATAAGAAATGTTTTTATGATGTTCTTTAAAAATTATGGTTTTCTGTCAAAAAATGAAAGAAAGAATATCTTTTAAACTTCTGTAATTTCAGAACTTTGTTATTATTTTTTTTATTATTTATTTTATCAATTTAAAATTCTAGCTAAAGCAAGCAAGCCTGTCATTGGTTTATTTCTTTTATTCCGAAATGAGAACAGAAAAATCAGAAGTATTTCTTACCTTTCCGATGAACAGGAAAAGTATCTTTAGAATATAATTCTGCAGAAAAAAAGAAGAAAAATTTTTTGCTTTCATGTTTTTTTCAGCTGTTTTATTGCTTCAACTCTTTCTTTACTCTGTTTTTTAAATTTAAATTCTATAAATATGAAGATGCAGAGTATAACAGTTTTCGTTCTATCTATCATTTCAATTAATGTTATTTTAATGCTTTTTTAAATTTATTGTGTTTTTGTCGGAAAAAATAGTAACTTTCTTTAAGTCATGGAAAATTCTTGGAATTAGTCGCGGAAAGTCATGAATTTGAAAATCTAAAATGTAGCAGATAACATGTCTAAGTGCTTTTTTGTGTGAAAAATTTGGAATAAAATAGAATTCAACATTAAATGGGTATATACTTCAAATCTAGGAAATTTATATCTCGTGAATTGTGAGAGGTGTTATGAATATAAAATATTAAAAATTTCTTGAAGTACTTTCTAAACTATGTGTTGAATGTTAAAAATACATGTTGAAAATAAAGTATGTGTATGCATGTAGAAAATAAAATTATTATCAGTATACAGTTAAAAATTCATGTATTTCTCCACTTTTCAACTTAAGTGTGTTGTGATATTCAATTACATTACTAGGTTTTTAAATACCAAATGTAAAGGTATGGTACTAATTGCAACAAAAAAATATGATTTTCAATAAATTTTGTACAACTTAAACATGAAAAAAAGGATTATTTAAATGTGCAATTCAAAACTTGCATATCATATTAGATACATCAAAACTTTCAATATCGTGTGAAAAATCATAGTTTAGCTGAAGTACACTGTGAGCAGGGATCTGTCTAGGTTTTTCTGAGAGGTACCTATTTTGTGAAAATTTAGACAAAACTTGTGAAAAATTGAAAAATTATATTAAAAAATCAACGCAAAAGTATGGATTTATCGCTTCGTTCAGGATGCAAAAATAAAATTTTAAGAAAAAGTATTTTGTGTTTTTCCCAAAGTTGAATTTGTGAAGGTACTGCTAAACGGTAGAAAATTTGGCCTGGACAGACCCCTAGTGAGCGTAGCAATAATTGCTGAAATAACATTTGAATTTACAATCGCATTGACGCAAATGAAACATACTAAAAAGTAATTATTTAAAAGCCAGTTAGAATATTTGTTTTAGAGGATCATCATGATATTGTATTAAAAATATCAAGATTTTCAAAAGCATGTGGAAATGTGTACCAATAACAACTAAGAAAACTATAAAAATTGAACTCTGGCTTACGATGAATCAACAAAAATAAGGGACATCAAAAAGTGATTATTTAACTGTGCAGCTTAAAAAGTGTAATTCATAATAATATCATATTAAAAATATTTTTAAAAAAAGACATGTAATTAACACCGATAACTGTTGATAAAACGATTGTAAATTCACTTCGATCTGCAATGAAATAGGCACAATTAAAACATGTAATCAAATGATTATTCAAATTCAAAATTCATGCATTGTATTATCCTACTGAAAAATTTTTGAGCGTGTCAGAAAGGGGTGACTTAAACTCATCATTCAAAGTTTCTAATTTTTTTTTATTCAAAAAATTACAAAAGAAATTCATTAGGTTCAAGTGCTGCCATAAATTTTGCACTCCTTTTCCTTGAGTTTGCAAGTGAAGCTATAAAAAAAAGGGTTTAACATACAATATTTTGAATAGACTAGAAATATTTTTCCTACTCTCAAGAGTTAACATTGTACCTGCCAAGTCTTCTGTTTTTTAACGAAGACTCCTGTATTTTACGACTATATACTGTTTATGTATATTCTAAAATTTCCCCATATATGTTGAAGAAATTTTTAAAAAAATGGCAATAAAATATCCATGGATAGCATGAATACTTCTTATTCCTCAACAGATGGTGCTATTGCTGTACTGTGATCGATGCGAATTCTGCATCCGGCTTACACCAACCACAGTGCTGACGTAAAATATCCTCAGTGGTAGATGAATCATGGGTTAGAGTCCCCTTGCCATCAGGCTAACTGTGGGAAGTTTTCCATTCCATGTAACACAAATGTAGGTTAGATCCATCAAAAAGTCCTCCACGAAGGCGAGATTTCTCCCAATACTTGATCCAGTAGTTCCTTTGTCTTCTGGATTGGGTTCAAAATTACACGGCTACTGAGTTGAACTTTAGTAGTTGTAAGCCAAAAACATTGGGTAGGCTGTTCAACGATGGCTATAAAATAAAATATAGTTTAAGTAATTATAAAGAATGCGGTTTTAAATGCGAAAATTTAAGAATGTGGTTTTCTTCTTAAGATTATGATTTATATACATATTTTTTACTTCCCTAAATGTAAGTGCTTATATTATAAATGTAAGTGTAATATCTCCGTTATTTTATCTCTCCAATGTTGGCAGGTATGTAACACGATGGTAATTTTTTGTGTCACTATTACTTTGTTTAAAAAGTTTGAAATTCTAGTTATATTCCAGGATGTCTATATTGTTTATTTCTTGAATGAAATTTACTGATAAGAAGAGAAATTAATAATAATATGTCTCAGAAATTATTATTATTATTTATTTTATTCATTTATTTGTTAACAGGTTACGAGAAGAAAGTGGATTCCAGCACATGGTACATAGATTCGTCATCGGATTTTTATCCACTGCAGCCTTCTTTTCCCTCTTACAATAGAAGTCTCCTTTCAAAAAGACAATTATCTGTTCCAAATGAACAGATGGTTCCATTTCAGAAGAAGTTACCCAAAGTTAAATCAGCAGATGATCTTCTATTAACAGAAGAGGAAATCACTTCTTCAGACCCGGAAACATCCAGTGATCAGACTTCGTCACTTGAAGAAAAATTTTCAAAATCAATAGAGGAAGATATTGGAAAAGAGTTTCCTATTTTAATGAGTGTACTGGAAGTCAAGAATAAAGAAAAATCTGCAATATGTATAGGTTGGTGTTCTTAGTTTCCTTCATCTGATTGAATTTCTTGTAATACCCAGTCTCAAAGTAATTAGTCATTAAAATTGCTTATTGCATGAAATGCTGTTATGATTTTGATCAAACCAAGAAGATGGAGGAAGATTATTCTTCTTCTAAATCTTGATTAATTGAATTTCTTGTAACACGCACTCTTTCTTTTCAAAGTAATTAGCCATTAAAATTACTTATTGCAGGAAATGCCGTTATGATTTTGCTCAAACCAACAGGAAGATTTTTCTTCTTATTCTTAATTAATTAAATTTCTTGTAAAACCCAGTCTTAGTTCGGGATAGCCTGCCTAGTAGGGCACTGGGGCCATGTCCAGAAGTTCGTGGATTTGATTCCTACGCTGGCCGAAGACTAGTAATGTAGTAAATGGTGACTGATGCACGATAAATCTGTTGAGTTACAAAGTCCTCCATGTTCCCATAACAAATCATATCTCTGGGGGTACTGATCCAGGAATTTCCTTGTCTTTTGGATTGGTTCAAAATTACAAGGCTTCGGCACAAGGTCACTTTGATCAGCCTGCGTAGTGACGGAGGATATGTGGTATAGGTCTTCATTATACTGTTCTACTGTAAAGGGCTCAACTTCCTCTGCAGCGCAGCCGGCTACCAAAGCAGGGGAGCTATCCCCTCTGCAGAGGATCAAAATTGCGATGGCATGTCTTTGGATCATCCTCAGGGATGTTTCTCAGACCTTCGCAAATAGCCCATTGTGCAGCTGTATTGTGATGTAAATAACTTACCTACATACCTTCTAATTTGCCACTTGAATTTACACATAATTATTTTTTTTTAAAAATAATATTTAAAAAATGCTAATTTTTCCTTAAAGAAGATTAAAAATCTTCTATAATTTAAACTTATTAAAGAAAAACAAATATTTTTTTTTTCTTTTAGAAAATTCAAATTTTTTTCCTAAATTTAAAAATATACCTATTCTTAATATTTTAATTTTTAAGGCTTATTGATATTGTTCTCATTACACTAAAATGCAATAAAGTAACTATTAATTGATGTGAAAACATATTTTATTCCAGCCCCATAAATAGAATTTTTTTTTGTGTGTCCCTTTTCTGAAAAATGTTGTAATTACCTATTTTCTATGGTTGTATTTAAACTGTAAAGATGAGAAGTAAAATGGATCATGAGCAATTAACCCAATTATAAAGCATGCAGGTCACATGAAATTAAACAACATAACTAGTTGAAGGCTGAAACTGGACTAATATTTTATTTACAGATAAGAGATTATATTTATGACAACACTGCTGCCATCTATGTGCAAACATGTTAAACTAACTCACTTAACATATGAAATATATTTTAAAGATTACTGAGTCATTAATGTAATTTAATTCTTCTTTTCAAGGCTTATTGCAATTGATACATGGCTTCATTTTAAAGAGTTATTCTACAAACATCCAGCACCCATCAGGCATTATTCAACTGGAAGTTTTTATTGTTCTTGCCAATGCAGTTGATTCTGAAGTTTGTGCTTTTGCTCTTAAAGTAAGTTGTTTATTTCGTTCAGCTCACTTATTCCGTGCATGCTGTTAAAAGTATATTCTGAGTGTCAAGAAATAACTTGGAGAAAGTTTTATTGCAATTGTTTCAAACATTAAAATTGCTATATACTGGAAGATATGCTTGTTTGGTCTCAAGGAGTGCACCTTCCATCAGGAGTCTGCTCCACCACCCCTGTGGCAGAATTTTTTCAAGCTGTCTGCGACGAAACTCCCTAGCACTAACATCTTTCTGTAGGATACTTTTAATAATAGCAAGCTTTTTTGTTACTAATTTAAAATAACAAAAGTGCTCTCTTTACAAAAAAAGAAAATAAAACTTATATTTTTTTAAATTTAACATAAAATAATTTTTTATTCTAATATCATGGTTGATATTCTTGCATTTTTTTTGGGGGGGGGGGGAACACACTAATTAAAACTTCTTGGCATTTTGTAAATTATCATCACAAAAAAAATAATTAAAAATCATGAAATCAGTTGCGGTAAAAAAGATCGATGGCGAAATCATGCAAATCAGACTTCTCAAATGCGTGTTTCGTTTCGAGATTAAGTTTTTGTAGTAAATAATATCGTATAAATAATTTCGGATTTAAAATCTGCAGAGAAATCAATAACAATAACTGCGAAAAATTCGATAGAATCATTGCCTTAAAAAAATAAGTACTCAAATACATGATTTGAATTTTCCATATTGTTCGAAATATATTGAGATCTTTAAAAACCATGTCAAAATCAATAACTGTCGAAATTTCAGTCGAAGAATTACATCGATTTACGATACGACCGCCGTAAATTGAGCGAGTCTAAGGTACTCAAGACTTGTGTAAGGTTCATTTTCTTGGCTTTCTTAAGGCACAAGAATAGAGTTGACAAAAATCATAATTTTTTAAAACGAAAATCAAAAACTAAGATTTGTTTTATCATTGTGGCCATCCACCTTGAAAATTTTTTATACTGAAAAAACCTGGAAAAATCAGGTAAATTTGGATTAAAAAAACTGGAAAAATTAGGGAATTTTAAAGAAAAGTTGGAATTTTTTTCTTCGATCCTTTCTTTCATGGCAAAACATGGCTTTCCTAATGGCAAAAGGACTCTAATCCATGACCTGTCTACCACTGAGGATATTTTACGTCAGCACTATGGTCGGCGGAAGCCAGATGTGAATTCATATCGATCAGCCATCGCAGAGATCCAAACCTGGTTCACCTCATTGGAAGGCGAACACTCTATCCCCTGAGCCAATGCAGCCCAAATGATGTATTAAAAAAAGAAAAAAATACAGTTTAACTAAAATACTTTATTATATTGGCACTTTTCTTGTACCGCATTTTAAATAAAATGCTTTATAATATTGACACTTTTATTGTACCCGTCTACATTTAATGAGGGGGGAAAAAACACACTGACATGGAATTTTTAAGATTTTTGCCTGGAAAAATCAGGGAAATTTGAAACCTGATTTGAGTGGCCATCCTGTTTATTTAAATTGTATTTTATTTTCTACCGCTCAAATCATCCAATAAAATGTACTAATAAAACTTAATATTATTAAAAAATAATAATATATCAGAAATAATTCTGATGAAATAAAAAAAAAATATTATTTAAAAAAAATATTATAGCTAACTTAATATTTTTAAATAAAATGTTTAAAGTATTACAAACTAATGTCTTAATCATGGTTATTTTTGTCAAAACTGAATTATCTTAAAATTTTAAAAATGAGGAAGCAACTAGCCAATTAGATAATGAAAAGTAAATTAGTTACGATCAGAATACGTTATTGGAAAAAATTATTCTCTGAAAATAATTATTCTCTAAAAATTATAAATTTCTCTGGGTAGAACAAATTTTTTTTTCACTATTGGTATATTCTTACAACATATTGAACAAGTTTATAACTTTTAAAAGCACTTAACTAAATGAGTATGATTGAAACATGGGTTACCAACAAATCATTTTACTTATGGTTACCAACAAATTATTTTACTTACAAGCAATGGAAAAATATAATATAAAAGTTGCATGCCAGACTTATCCGCTTTTTGTCTCTCTATTTTAATTTATTAGTCTATTTTGATGTATAATAGCTTGCATATGTTCTCTTTTCAATATTTCTTTTGATAAAATCTTCATTACTTGTGAACTCAGACTAAAAAAATCAATATCTGAAGAATATTATTTATAAATGTTATTGTATACAAATATGTTTGTCTTATTTGACAAATATTAATTAACAAATTTAAAAGGAATAAATAAGTTTATATCTAGGATTTTTTTAAAGAAAACAATGATAGATGATTTAATTTGATGATTTCTTCGTTTACCCATTAAGAGCCCTGCATTTAAGTTTTAAAATCTTGTAAATATGTTATAGATTATAATGTTTTCATGTTTATTTGAAAGTTTGGTTGTGGTATTTTAGTAGGCATTAAAATTTTGTATTGTGTGTAAGTTATTTCTTGTCATACTTTAATTTAGACTTTTTTTTTTTGCATTCAGTTAAAAATATCATTACAAATCTTAATGTACTTTACTGTTTTTATTATCATAGTTTTAAATTTTAGATCATTCAAGCCTACCTGTTTGAGGCCAATGAAGACACAAAAAATGCATTTCTGAAAATGAAAGGTTTTCATTTGCTTGCAAATCAACTTAATGTTCGAACATTTGATATGAAAGTATTTGATGTTTGTTTCTCTCTTATTTCTGGTGTTCCTCTATCCTCTGTTATTGAGTAAGTTGTGTAATTTATTATGAATTTTTTTTTCTTGTCTTTTTGATTGTAAATAATTTGCTAAGTCTTTATTTGCTATTTTTTATTGTTTTTCCTGAGAATAATATAATAGTATATTTTCTAATTAGTTATTTTTGGTTTACCAACATCAAAAGCAATATGGACAATTTTCGTTAACGGTAGAACATTAGGAAAATAATTTGCTCTTTATAAGTTATATTGTAAGTTTTGTTATTCGGGGCTAAATTATATTAGAGTATAATTTAAATTTTTAGAAAAATGCAGAAGAGTGTGATGACAAAGCACTTGATAAATTGACTCTATTTGGCTGTAAATTATATGTACATTGCATACAATGAAGAAGATATCACCAGGAATAACTTTTATTCTAATGATCAGATTTTCACGAACTCAAATATTCAAAACAATTAGTGCTAACTATAAGTTGAGAGTTACGAAATATTGCATGTTTTTGGTCATATCTTTAAAGATAATTGAGCAATTTTGAAAGCATTTGGTACTTTTTATTAAATGTTTATATTCCTGATTGAGCATAAAAGGGAAAAAAATGCAGGTTTAATTAGAATTTTTTCATGATCCAGGTATGTCAGATGTTATATAATATTTTTGCCCTATGCCTTAATGTACATAGCCTTTAGTGGAATAAAATAATTCTGTATTTCTGATGTAATAATTTTTTCAAACTTTTACAAGAGCATGCAATAGTATTTTAGAAACTATGTTGTTCAAATCATTTTTACATTGTGTCTTTTGTATATGAAATTTAGTTTGATTTCAGGTGTAATATGTTTTTGTCAAAGGAGGCATCAGGTTTTCAGATCATGTCATGGCTACCATTTCTTGCTGTGCTTCCAAGTTCCTATCTAGAACCATCCTTGTGTGAGAAAGCAATATTACTTCTGATTAAGGTGATTAAAATTTTTCCATGCTTTTTATCCATTGGCAAAATGGGTATTTTGGCTTTGATGGCGTGCACACCTTATTTGGCACCATCACACTGTTCAGCTATGTTCAAGAGCAATAGTAAACAGTGTGCATGAGTTGCTATGGCGACCACTGCTGTTTGATAATTTTTTTAGAATTCTTTTTTTCACTTGCATTAATAATTTTATTGTGCATTAAGTTAGTCAGTTTATTAAGTTAGTTACCATTTTTGAGATTAAGGACCAGAGAGATCCCATAAATACTTCTTGAGTTGTGAATAAAAGAGAATTTCCTCATTTGAATGATATTTTTGTTTTTATTGTTTTAATTAAGAACCAGGATTCCAACCTGGATATTCCAATGGATCGTTTTCAATACTAATTTGGGTGAAATTACAAATAAAGAGGGTAAAAAAATTAGGCAACAACCATTTTACCAATGAGTACCCTGTCAAAATCTTTTTTCTGTGTAAATTAAGTGCTTATATTATTTTTAAATTTTTTTTTAGGGAATAATCGAGCAAACGGAGTCTAAACTAGCAGGATTTCCAATGAATTAATTGAAAATGTGATTTAGTGCAATTAAAAATTGGAAAAGACAAATAAAAATCACTTTCATTTATCATGCTGAATTTAAAATACATCTACAACCAATTTTTCCCTCTTACAAAATGTTCTACAATAAAATAAAATTCGCATGCTTCGTTTTTGATATTGGTGTTTCATTGATTTTCTTGCTTTTGTCAGCCTCACTTAAGTTTATTTTTAAAATCCTAACATATTTATGTTATATTTTTATGAAGCATGCTAATCAAATTTTATGCAATTTTTATATTGTAAATTTTCTTATTTATGTTTCTATGATCCACTAAGTTATACTCAAGGGGAGGGAGAGGTATAATCGTCCTAGAAATTCTTAGGTTCGACCAAAATTCCTTAGCAAAATTAAATCTTTAATTAGCTGTTAAAAGTTGCAGATAATTTCCTTATGGCTATGTAAAATCTAAAATTTTGTATATAGGGTCTTCAAAAATTCTATAAAATATAAGAATAAGGCTTTTTGTGCTTTGAGGAAGAGGCTCACAGTAAATTTTCTTCTGGTGCTCGTAAAACCTTGGTTCAGCCTTGATGACCCTTAATTTCCATTATTTTTGCAACAAATATTCAGTTTTAATTTTCTCAGAAAACTTGTTTCTCAACAGGCTGTTTTATATTTGAATCATTTCTTTATTCAGTTTTAATTGTGTTTTCTTCCTTTCAGTTTCTAAGAATGGATTGTAGTGTGATAGTGGAGTTACTAAACAATGGATTGATGATGAGTATTTCTTCGTTAATCAGCTGCATTTGTCATTCCTCAGAAAAGTGAGAAGTTTTTTTCATCTCTTTTTGTATATATATAATAACCGAAATCAAGAGAATGTCTACTTTCACTGGTGAATGTCCGAAATATTTGTTATATCTAATTTTATATTAATTTATAGTCTTACATCGATCAAAAATCACTTCCTGTTTTATTCAAAAATACAGGGTATCCAAGCACCTGGAAAGTCAAGAAAAATAATGGATTTTGGTATTGAACAAAATTTTGCATGAAATGTCATGATTTTAACTACTTTTTTTTAAAAAAAAAATCATGGAAAGTCATGGGTTTAAGCCACCGAAAAATCTAATTTTAAAAATGGAATTTACCCCCTCCCAATTTCACAGTATTCTGATGTTCGAAATATCTAAATTTGTAGCAAAATCCCCACTCATAGTCATATTCTATTAAAATATAAAATGTTTTTATCATGTTCTTTGAAATTTATGGTGTTCTTTCAAAAATCGAACCAAAGTGTAAAAATGAACGCATTTCTAGAGAGAATTATCATATTTTTTTTCTTTTTTTAAATTTTTTTTTCCATTTAAAATTCTAATTTAGACTTTTTATATTACACTTAATTTAAAAAAAATAGTAAAACAGCTTTAAATGACTACATATATCTGACAGTATTTAGTTATATGCTTTTGTATTTTTTTTCAGCTATTTTACTGCTTCAACTCTTTCTTTACTCTGTTTTTTAAATTTAAAATCAATAAATATAAAGATGCAGACTATAACAGTTTTGGTTTTACTTTTTATTTCAATTAATTTAATTATAAGGCATTTTTTAAATTCATTGTTCTGTTTTTGTGGAGAAAATAAAAACCTCGGTAAGTCATGAAAAGAATTTTACATGGAAATTTATGAATTTGAAAATCTAAAATCTAACAGATACCCTGAAAATACTAGGTTAATTTTAAAAGCTTGCGATTTTTTGTTTATGTAACTTTGTCTTGTTTTTTAATAAATGATTTGATCAAAAGAGTAAAAAGTTCGAAATGATCAATGTTAGGATTTTTTTCTTTTTTATTAAACTGAAGTTAAACTCCATTGTATTTTCATACATTTTGTATTAAAATAAAGTTACAAAATGAAATAAATAAATTAAATAAAGATTTAAACCTCTTAAAATCTCCTGTATTTTAAGTTATTTTGTAGTGAATGTTCTGCAATTTTTAAAATTGCAGAGGATTGTGGTTGACAGGTATGCATTCATATTTTTGAAATTATGTGTGTCAATGACTTCTTAAGTGGAAACAAATCTTTTTAGAATTTATTCATTTGGTTTTTAACATTTGTAATGCAAGTTAACTTTTGCCTTGTAGGAAAATTGCTGACAATCTCCATGCTCCTATGGAAGCTCTGCATTGTTTGCTAAAAGCTGTGTCGTATGAGTTGTGCAGGTAATTATACGAGCTATTATTGGCATACGTGTCAACTCTTGTTTTTGCGTGAGATTTCTTTTGAATGTTTAATGTGATTTTAAATTTTATGCTTATTTTTTATTTTTTATTTAATAAATTTGGTTTACAATCATTTTCGCCACAGTTAAATGTAAACAATTTAACTAAATGTCAGGGGCCCTACCATGAGCCACAAGAAATGGAATGGAGATTCTTGACTAGAAAGTAAAACTGGGTTTGGTTCTATGAAGGATCAGAACCGTACCGTGAACACTCGCTTGGAATCAGACATTCCTCGCTAACTGGTTCTAAGGGTACGGCTAAATTTTAACCAATCACACAATTTACTTGGGATTTTCTTTTTAAGTGTAGCAACATTAGCATGAATAAAATGAAACTGAGTGAGTTAATAAGATTATAAAATTAGCTTATACTATTTAGATAATATTTTTGACTATTTATTGTTTTCTTTTCTTGATTTCATTAGACTAAAAAAAATATTAATAGAGAATACTTTAAACTATTCTTTGAACTATTGCCTAATCTATAAGATATATATATTATATTAAAAACTGTCATCTTTATCAAGTATTAATCAGTCATAGAATAATACCATTTTCTCATTAATAAATATTTCTGATGTATTATTTAATACGTTTTATTATTTTTTTTAACCCTTTGCTTGCGGCTGGTACAGCATATGTACCGGTAGGAAAAACTCCTCTTATTGCGGCGCTGGATCAGCAGTTGTACCAGTGGTTCTCTTCCCCCTTTTCTCCTAGACCGCCATCGCACCTGTCTTAACGCTGGTTGCTTTCGATTCAAATGGGCTGAAAGATTTTTCTCTTTTATTATTAGTTGGCGAGTTTTAAAGAATGAGAATGTCTTTCATTTTCCTTGTAGTACTAATTACATTTCATTCGAGATTTTTTCAGCTACGATTGTTATTTCTCTTAACATGAGACACAAAACACATATTAACGCAGCGGACTGTTATTTTATTTGCACATTGAATTCACACACTTGCCTCTTTCGAGGTTGATAATACACACCCTAGTTCTCGTTTCCTACACAGAGGGCGTTCCTCGCATACAAAACTGAACATACCGCCCCACATTGCACTGGTTCAACCAGGCAATCATTGTTATATTCAATTCACTCATAAGTGACTTCATTAACACTTTTAACATTTCACACAATTAACCACTGCTATATTCAATAACATAAATCACTAAATACAATTAACATTATAATATAAAAGACATTGAGATATAAAACTAAAGCTAATTTTTCATTTACACAATTACTCTATGGGAAGAATACAAATGTCACGAATATTTCTTTGAAGTAGTTTGCCATTAGGTAAACTTAACTTCACTACTCTTATTTTTCTGTCATGGCCAGGCATCACCTCAACAATCCGTCCTACTAACCATTGTGTAGATGGTAAATTCTCCTCCTTTATCAAACACAGGGTTCCTATTTCTACATTATTCTTTTCAAATTTCCATTTATTACGTTCCTGTAAATTATTAAGGTAGTCTCTTTTCCACAACTTCCATATTCTCTGACTATACTTATTAATCTTTTGCCAGTTAGAAAGCCTATTCTCAGTTATATCTATTAGTTGGGGTTCAGCAAGTGAGGTGATGGGCCTACCTATCAAGAAATGACCAGGTGATAGAGTTTCAAATTCATCAAACTCCGGTGAAAGTGGAGTGAGAGGTCTGGAGTTCAAAACACCTTCGATTTCAGTCAAAATTGTTAAGAATTCTTCCAAAGTTAAATTTTGATTGCCGATTACTCTTTTTAGGTGGAACTTAAACGACTTCACACCAGCCTCCCAAATTCCCCCAAAGTTTGGTGACCTTGGTGGGATAAATTTCCAATCAATCCCTTCATTAGTAAAATAACTGGCTAACGTCTCATCTGGGCAATTTATCATTTTTCTTAACTTTTTAATCTCAATGTTAGCACTGATAAATGTTTTTGCATTATCGGTCATAATTTTTGAACACTTGCCCCGTCTCCCAAAAAAACGTTTTAGACTGGCAATGAACGATTGAGACGATAAATCAGTTACAAAATCTAAGTGTATTGCCTTGGTACACAAGCAAATATAAACAGCAACCTAAACCTTATTTGTGACCCCTTTTCTCTGGTTTTTGAACTTAATAGAAAATGGGCCACAAAAATCAATTCCCGTGATGTTAAATGGATAATTAGGTCTTGTGCGCTCCTTTGGTAGATCAGCCATTATTTGATTACTCATAACAGGTTTGTTTTTAAAACATGTGATACAACTATGTACAATTGTCCTACAATTATTTCTACCGTTAAGAGGCCAGAACTTTTGTCGAACTTGATATAATAATGCTTGTGGTCCCAAGTGCAAATATTTTAAATGACAATATCTCAAAATCATGGTGGTTAAGGAATTCTTACCCGGTAAAATGATGGGGAAAATAGAATTAACAGGCAAGTCAGACAGAGATAATCTACCACCAACTCTCATCAGCTTATTTTTATCTAGAAAAACACACAAGGAAGACAACTTACTGTTCCTCGGAACAGGCTTACCCTTTTCCAAGCTTTTGATTTCCTCTGGGAACTCACTTCGTTGTAAACATTTTATCAACCAAATTTCAGCTGCATTTACTTCACTTACTAACAAGGGACCAATTTTTCTTGCATCTGGATTTTTACAATTGTAAATTAATCTGAAAAGAAAACTCTCAACACGTAAAATAGTTATATAGTTATTGCTTAAATCAAGTAAATCATTTATAAAATTATTAGTATGGATATTAAGCACAGACAGAAAGTCCTCAAAGTCTCCATTGGTGGAGTTTCTTAGTTCTGAATAGTACTCATTGTGTTTCTCACTACAATTTATAGTTCGATTTGGATAGTCATTTTTGGCAAGAAACATCGGACCATGAAACCATAAGTTGTTATGTGGAAGTTTATCAGGATCAACACCTCGTGAAACTAAATCTGCAGGATTTTCATCAGTTGGTACATGTCTCCATCGCTGATTAGGAAATAGTTCTTGTACTGTGGCCACTCTGTTTTGAACAAAGGTTTTTAAATCTATGGTTTCTTTTTGAAGCCACGCTAGAACTATCATAGAGTCTGTCCAAAGGTATATTTCAACAGTTTCTAACTTTAACGCAGCAACAACTCGTTTCACAAGTTTTAACAGAAGAACAGCAGCACATAACTCAAGTCTTGGGATAGTCAGACTTTTTATAGGCGCAGCTCTTGATTTGCTCGTTATCAAACTAATCAAAGTCTCATTCATTGAATTTTTAGATTTACAGTAGACTGCTGCACCATAACATTGCTGAGATGCATCAGCGAAGCCATGGATTTCTACACTTTTTGGAATAGTGATGAAGATGCGTCTTGGAATCTCTATATTGTTGATGCTCTCTAAAGACACTAGAAATTGATGCCACTCTCGATATTCTTCATCTGGTAAAGAGTCATTCCAGTCCATTTTGATTCTCCACAAACGCTGAAGGAAAATCTTTGCCTTTGCTATTACCGGTGCCATTAGACCAATCGGGTCGAAGAGCTTGGCAATAGTGGACAAAACGTCACGTTTTGTGTAAGAATTCTCCAAGCATACCTTTACTCTGAATAGAAAACAATCTAAAATTGGTTTCCAGGATACACCTAAAGTTTTTGTCTCTATTAACGTTGCAAAATTATAATCACATTCAGAATCTGGTGCTAGTTTCACGTGATTGGCGCAGAGCTTGTGTAGTGTCATGTCAGCACTTTGCAAAATCCCTTTTNTATCGGCTAATTTAATTCGCTCAAATTCTAATTTAGATTCACTATCGGACTTTTTATTTTTTACTTCCTCTATAGCATAATCCAGTGCGCATTTAAATAGCTCTTGATCTGTTTTATACACTTCGCTGTTTTCAATTAAAGTTTTTAAATCGGCAATTTTTGCACCCTCCGGTACATTTAAGTTTAATTCTTCTGCGACGAGTCTTAATTCGTCTTTCTTTAATTTAGTCAAAGACATGTTTATAGTTTAATTCACTTAAATATAAATTTAACTTTCACCTACCTTCTCAAATTGCTGTTAGACGCACTTAAGTTTCGGTTTAGATTCTCGATCGTACACTTTTCACTGAATCTTTTGCACTAATTTTAGCTTAATTTTCACAAAATTCGCTCGTCCATTGATCGCTTACCCTCTCAGGCTCGGGTAAGGACCATGTTATTTCTCTTAACATGAGACGCAAAACATATATTAACGCAGCGGACTGTTATTTTATTTGCACATTGAATTCACACACTTGCCTCTTTCGAGGTTGGTAATACACACCCTAGTTCTCGTTTCTTACACAGAGGGCGTTGCTCGCATACAAAACTGAACAACGATATTTAGCAAATTCTAGTTTGTTTTTTTTTTATTAATTTATTTGTTAGTTACGTTTTTATTTTTTTTTAAATCTTTTGATAATGTTTTAATTAAAATTTTATGAACTTTTTATTTTTTAATTTGTTGCTTCCGTTTGGTATTGAATTATTCTTCTCTCATTGAAGGAATTTTTCTCAATTCAAAATGCCACGTAGAGTGAGACCACTCACTCAAGAAGAAATCGATAAGTTAATGTTTGATTTCGATGTTGAAACCTAAGCGGATTTTGAATCTGAGTGTAAGAAGGAAGAAGAAAATAATGAAGATCATGAAATTGATAGTGATGATGAATTTTTAATATATTTAAATACTCAGCTAATCTCAAATGTATGACTTCAAAGTTTCAAAAATAAAGTTTATTAAAAATGTACCGCTTTCATATTACAAATTTAGATGATCATATACAATCGAAACCAGTCTGGAAATTCTACACATTAATTAGAAAAAAAAGATGTACAAATTATACATTTAGATAAGCTGAATTTTTTAGAAGTTCTATAAATATTTACTCTCTCTTTATATTAATACTCAGTTTTTTAATTTTGTAAGAACAGTT